TTTTTGATGATGGCCATTTTGACTGGTGTGAGGTGATACCTCATTGTAGTTTTGATTTGCATTTCTCTAATGATTAGTGATGTTGAGCATTCTTTCATGTGTTTGTTGGCAACCTGTATATCTTCTTTGAAGAAATGTCTATTTAGGTCTTCTGCCCATTTTTGGATTAGGTTGTTTGTTTTTTTGTTATTGAGCTGCATGAGCTGCTTGTAAATTTTGGAGATTAATCCTGTCAGTTGCTTCAATTGCACATGTTTTCTCCCATTCTGAGGGTTGACAAGACAATTATTTAATAAAAATAAACTTTTAATTCCTAATTTAAATAAATTAGGAGTTTGGGATTAACAGATGCACACATCTATATATAAAATCAATAAAAATTAAGGATCTACTGTATAGCACAGGGAACTATATTCAATATCTTATAATAACCTATTATGGAAAACAATCTGAAAGAGAATATATATATGTGTGTGTGTATATATATATTTATATACACACACACATATATAGCTGAATGACCTTGCTGTACATCTGAAACTAACACAACATTGTAAATCAACTATACTTCAATTAAAAATTTTTTTTAAATAAACTTTTAACAGAATTTTTTAGCATTATCACAACACCATTATCACACCCACCCAAATTAACAGTACTTCTTGATGTTATCAGTGCTCTTTAGCTAAAGACCACCAGGGGCACACAGAGTTAAACAAGTTGGATTTATTACTTACTGCAGCAAGGCAGCATGCACACCATGGTGAACTGTGGGATATCTCACAGAGTGTTAGAAAAGACTTATTAAGGACTTTGGTTTTGAACACGTGAAACATATTTTATAAATCATTGTTATCTCAATTAAAATAAATTTTAAATTTACTTTTAAAAAAGAAAGGGGAGGAACTTCCCTGGTGGTCCAGTGGCTAAGACTCCCAGTGCAGGGGGCCTGGGTTTGATCCCGTCAGGGAACTAGATCTCACATGCTGCAACGAAGATTAAAGATCCCACGTGCCACAACTAAAACCCGGTGCAGCCAAATAAGTAAATAAATATTGAAAAAAAAAGGGGGAAATATTGCTCTTGATATACATACTAGTAAATTGGCTAGTAAGTTTAATAAAAAGTCATACATCATTTTAACATTCAAAAGGTTGCTTTAAAGGGCATCCAGTATAAAACTACTGACTCAGAAGCATACTGCCTATTGGAATTATAAGATGTCATTTCAAGGATCAAGAGTGTGAGTTGAAAGTGAATGTGATTTTTCAAGCTATAGTGGTATTTCCCGAGGGATGGTGATATTTAAAATAAAATTGTAGTTTAATCCAACGACAATACCTTTTGTCCACTTTGGTAGAAATAGCTATTTTTGAAGGCAGATTTTCTAGTTTTCAAACTAATTTCTTTGTCAATGTTGGGCATTTTTTAGACTTTGTCATTGTCTAGTTGACCTTTGTCGATTGAGAACCTAAAATCATATAACTTAAAGGGATATATTTTTAAGATGCCAGCTGAAACCAGGAACTTAGTAAGTGCAACTACAAAGCCTTATTATAAAAAAACAAAAAAACCCACACATTTTTCTAACCTATAAAAAAAAGAATTGGGGCTTGTATTAGGTGCTTTTGGGGTGAGTTCTGGATTGGATGTTGTAGGCTGCAAGGGTATTCTGTGTTGGGCATCTTAGTAAATGTTACCTACAAAGGGGGAAAACTATACAGAGGCTAAAATTATAATTGATAAACAAGCAGCAGTCACTCATATTAGCCAGAAAAGGGGGATGTTTAGTCAGTTTTGAGGTGTAAATAATGTTTATATTTTGTCCATGTTCAAACACAATTACAGAGTGTTCTTGCTTTTGTCTCAATATATCATGGTCACAGAGTGACCTTGTCTTGTTGCTGTTTTGGATGTTGAACAGGAGACCACCCAGACGTTGCTGTGAGTTTCAGGCCAGCTCATCACAACAGCAAGGCCTAGCTGAGAGTACCAGGTCCACTCCTGCATATCAGGGGCTGCTTTCTCTCTCTCTCTTTTTTTTTTTTTGGTTCTGAAACCCAGGATGCTTTTCTCTTTACCAATATCGTCTAATACCCTGTGTTCTGTTAACCCCACGTGTCTCAAATGTGTTTTTATAGTCGTTCGAATCAAGATCTAAGGGCCACACTTTACAATGGATTGTTACAACTCTTAAGTCTCTTAATCAGGAAGAGTTCTCCCTTCCTCTTTCTCCTCCAAACTGGATTTGTCTGGTTATGTCCTGTTTATAATATCATTTAACATGTCCTCTGTATCCTCCTCTTACCCTTCTTCTGTAAACTAATTAAAGGATTTGTTAGGATTTTTTTTTTTGGCAAAAATATTTTATAATTGGTGTTGTTTTTTGTTACATCATATCAGAACTAATGATGTCCAGATGTCTCTTTTTTTAAAAAAAATATTTATTTATTTATTTATTTATTATTTGGCTGTGTGGGGTCTTAGTTGCGGCTACGGGACCTTTTAGTTGTGGCATGCGAACTCTTAGTTGCGGCATGTGGAATCTAGTTCCCTGACCAGGGACTGAACCCGGGCCCCCTGCACTGGGAGCTCGGAGCCCTAGCCACTGGACCACCAGGGAAGTCCCCAGATGTCTCTTTTGAGATGTTAAGATTTATCAGTTGGTCCCAGTGTCAGCTTGATCTTACTTTATAAAGTTCCCCAGCACATGTACTTAGTCTTAAATTATCTCCTCCAGATTTCTTGTTAATTACAAAAGAAAAAAAGGGTAACTTAATGGGGAAACATGCTGCATACCACCTTAACCAAGTGATCAAAGTTAATATGAATAATGAGACAAGACTGGCATCATAAGCCTCCTGAAGTGATGCAGAGAAGGACAAGCATCAATCACATAATACGTCATCCAAAAATGAACTCTGTGAATCTAATCATGAGAAAACAGACAAACCAAAACTGACGCTGTCTGTAAAGCATCTGGCCTGGACTTTTCAAACCTGGGAAGATGAAGAAAGGCTGAGGGACTGGTCCAGATTAAAGAAGATTAAAGAAACATACTTTGAGGGCGTGATCCTGGATGGGAAGTTTAAAAAGTGACTGCTATAAACGACATTATTGGGCCAGTTGGTAAAATTCTGCATATGGATTGTATGTTAGATAGTAATATTAAATCCTGCTTTCAATCATTGTGTTTGTGTTAGAGAATGTTCTAAGTTCTAAGTTCCTATGATACTCTGAAGAATGTAGGAGAAAAGGGTCATGACATTCGCAATTTCCTCTCAAGTAGATTCCTCTCAATTTCATTCTTGATGAAACACCCACACCCACACACACACACACCCCTACAGAGAGAGGAGAAAAAGTAAATGTGATAGAACTTTAACAACTGATAAAGATTATAGGGAAGTTCATCATATTTACACTATTCTCACAACTTTTGAGTTTGAAATTTTTTCAAAATAATTTCAAAATTAAAAGTTGAAAATGAACATCCCCATTCACTTTTCATCTAATATTTTAATAGCCATTTATTGTCATTGCCTAGGTCCATTAATTTACTAGTGGTTGCAGAATGGTGACTTTATGATTCTAGCATTTTCTTCATAATAAATGAAGCTCCTAATAAAGTTTCCATGATTATTCTATAAAGAGCTTTCCCTTATTGCAACTATTTGGTAATCATAAAATATTGTTCATAAAGGAGGGAGCGGGGTGACACACTCTTGATTCTTTAATTACATTTCTTTAAATAAATTTATTTTATTTATTTTGGCTGTGTTGGGTCTTCATTGCTGTGTGCAGGCTTTCTCTAGTTGTGGCAAGCAGGGGCTACTCTACTTTGCAGTGCGCAGGCTTCTCATTGTGGTGGCTTCTCTTGTTGTGGAGCATGGGCTTTAGGCACACAGGCTTCAGCAGTTGTGGCACGTGGGCTCAGTAGTTGTGGCTCACGGGCTCTAGAGTGCAGGCTCAGTAGTTGTGGCACACGGGCTTAGTTGCTTCATGGCATGTGGGATCTTCCCGGACCAGGACTCGAACCCGCGTCCCCTGCATTGGCAGGTGGATTCTTAACCACTGAGTCACCAGGGAAGCCCTACACGCTTGATTCTTTTCACGAATTTTCAGAATAACAAAATTATATCCTAGCCGCCTCTGATAGTGACCATTGAGGGTTTTTTTTAGTAACACTGTAGTCTCATGGCTTTGTTTTACATTTGGTATATTTCAACTGATTGTAGTCATTATTCTTTATTAAATTGTTCCATCTTAAGCCAGTGGGAACCTTTTTAAGTTTTCTCCCGTGTGGTAGGCTCCTTGCTTTCTGGTATAAGCTGTTCCAGGCTCATCTTGCACATTTCTTGTTCCACATTGGACTCAGCTATTTGCCAAAGGATTCCTGATTTCTTATACAGACAGATGGCATTTTATGGAATTTTAACACTAGAGTGCTCATCGCTCCTGAGTTGTGAGTGACTCTAGGCATTTTTGGTGGTTCAGTCTAGGGAAAAGTTAAAAAAATAAGTACATACAGGGCTTCCCTGGTGGCGCAGTGGTTGAGAGTCTGCCTGCCAACGCAGGAGACACAGGTTCGTGCCCCGGTCCGGGAAGATCCCACATGCCGCGGAGCGGCTGGGCCCGTGAGCCAGGGCCACTGAGCCTGCGCATCTGGAGCCTGTGCTCCACAATGGGAGAGGCCACGACAGTGAGAGGCCTGCATACCACAAAAAAAAAAAAATAATAATAATAATAATAAGTACATACAGTATTCCCATTCCTAACTGTTCTTGGATAGGGAGATAAAACCTGTACTGTATTGTTTGTATGTATATGTGCATATATGTGCATTTGTGTGTGCATTGTTAAAGCTAGTGTGAGGAAGCTTCCAGGCCTGTAAGTGTTGAATACCTGTCAGGCCTAGACTCTCATGGCTTCCTTCTTCTTCTCTAGGTCTGCATGCTCCAGTCCAGGAGCCTGGCCAGGAGGGAGATACAAGAGGAAGAATGGCTGCAGGATTGCTGACAACCTGGTCACAGGTATGTGGGAAGTTACTGTTTCCAAAAAAGCATTGCTGTTGCTAAAGGATACATCTCTTGCCCATGACCCACAGCTTCACAGCCCAGGCAGGCTGGCCTTAGGCTTCCACAGTTCTCTGGGCTTCTCAGAATAGGAGACAGAGGATGTCTTAGGAAAGGCCTCAACATTTGTTAATTTTTTTTCAGATAATCCTCCAGGGTGAGTATTAGTTCCATATTCTGCTGGGTGCCATGAAGGAAAATAAAGACTTTTTTCACTAAGTATTTTTCTCATTCTGCAGTATGCTCAGTCTTGATCTTCAATAAGACTGGCAGATTCCTCACAACCTAGTTGTGGAAATATGTTACACTGTGTTAGAAAAGCTGCTAAGCTGCTGGATGATATGGTCCAGGGAGTGAGGACAAAAGTGGAAAGTTCCAAGAATTGAGCCTTTGGTCAAATAATGAGAGACCTCTGAGGCATGTCTGAGCTTCCTACACATTGGGTCTCCTTCCCAAGTCCTGTCAGCCTCACTCGCCATCTTTCTGGTTCAGAGTTAGAGATGGTCCTTGGCTGAACCTGTGTACGTGTGATGTTTTAGGACTCGGTGACCTTCGAGGAAGTGGCAGTGGACTTTTCACAGGAGGAGTGGGCACTGCTGGACCCTGCTCAGAAAATCCTGTACAGAGACGTGATGCTGGAGAACTTTAGGAACCTAGCCTCAGTGGGTAAAGTTGACCTCATTCCTTCATATTCATTTGTTCATACACGTAATAGTTCTTCATCACATATCTGTTCCAGCAACTGTGAAAAGAATGGCAGTACATGGTAACGCAGAATGGATAGTTCCTGCCCTTGTGGGGCAGTCTTGTGGCTTACCATGAAAATGCACTGATTGTATTTTCTCGATCCTTAAAAAATTTAGGTAATTTGCAGATCTTGGGCTTGGTATTCAAGGGTCAGGTCATGTGGGACAAGGAGTATGCATGTCTGTTTTGGGGCCCTGTGAAATAGTTATATAATCTGATTGTTTTGCTGCTCCTAAAGCTGCACTTGCCTATCTTCAGAATCCTTTAAAACCAAAGTATTGGAATCAATTTTGTGGAAAGATTTCTTGTTTCCTTCACAGTCTTCCCACATCATGTGTCTTTCCCCATGAGCAGGGTATCATCTCTGCAAACACAGTCTGTTCACTGAGGTGGAGCAGGAAGAGCTGAGGCCAGAGCAGAGACGAATTCTCCAAGGTGCTTATAGAGGTGAGCCCCAGGCAGAAAGGGGTCATTATATGGAATAGCCACAGCCTGCAAGGGGTGATACAGTTGGGAATGTCAGTCATTGTGGGAAAGAAGGCAGAGGCCATTACATGAGCTTTCCTTCTTTCACCATCTCTCCATTCATTCATACTTCCATTTGGTCTCAAAGAAAAAACTATTTCAATTACTCTTTCAATTTCACATTTCCTTGAATACTTTTTGTTTAGTTCTCCCCACTTGCTTTCCAGATAATACCTTCTCTTATTGTCTCAAGCCTCCAGAATCCTTAGTAAAATACCTCTCATTACCATTGCTTGTCCCTATCATTGGCATCTTTTTCCAGAGGCAAGTTCCTAAATTAATTTCTCTGGTCACTGGTTGCATCTTCTCTTTCACATTTTCCTCCTATATTTAGTGTTATTATTTGAAAACAAATCCATAAGGTGCCTGCCTCCTTTTTTCTTTCATCCCTACTTTTTCTCCCAATAATTATAAAAAATTTCCCCATTCACTTTCAGACCAGGATACTCAACTTAAATCAAAAGACGCAATTCTTACACAGAATGTTCCTGGGGAAAAAACTTCCAATGGCATAAAAACGGTGAGATTCACTAGAAATGATTCCTGGTTTTTTAGAATGGGAGAGTTCTGTGAATTTCAAGGAATTAAAACAGCAGCAGCACCCAAACAAGGGGAGACACTTGAGGCAAGTGGAATTCACTCATCAGAAAGCTGCTTCAGGAAAGCCTTTATGAATCCCATAAAATTGGAGAAATCTCCAAACCTACCTCAACACTTGCTGCCTTGCAGAGAATATCAAAAAGTAAACATTTACTTAAATGTGATTCAGTTATTAAGTATTTAATAAATTATTCATTCATTCTTCACACATAACTAGAAAAACTATATTTAGGATACCCTTTGATGGGAATGAATACCATGGGGTCTTGGGAAGAGTATTCAGCTATTTCAACTTGAAAGTATAGCGCAAAAGGTATACATACACCCTGAAAATGGTAAAAATGTTAGTCATAATAATATGCTTCATATATATGGCAGAATCCACATGGGAGTGAGTTCCTCTGTGATGAAAGTGAGAAAGCCTTTAGTCACCACTTATTCCTTGTTCTGTAGGCAGCAACTCACCCTGATGAGAAACCAATGGAATTTAATCATTGTGGAAAATTCTTTAGAAAGAACTGTCACCTTATTTGTCCAAGATATTGCAAGAGAGAGAAATGCTACAAATATAAAGAATATGGGCAAGGCTCTGGCCATCCCTCAACTCTTAGGAGTCATGTGAGTACTCACACTGGAGAGAAAATTATTGAATTTAATGGTTGTGGAAAATTTTTCAATCAAGAGTCATCCCTTAGGAAACACTTAACTCTCACAGAAGAGAAATCTTCTGAGCATAATCAACATCTTATGTCCTTCAACTTACACTCTTCCTTTTCAGTACATGAACAAATACCTACTGGAGAGAAACTCTGTGAATGCAGTGACTATGGAAAAAGATCTTCCCTTAGTTTCCACAAAAAAATGTGTACTGTGAAGGGAAACTCAAAATGTAATGAACATGAGAAAGTTTTCACTGGCCCCTTGTCCCTTCAGATATGTGTGAGACCTCACACTGGAGAGAAACGTTATGAATGTAGCAATTGTGGGAAAGCCTTTGTTTTTCAGTCTTCCCTTAAGAAACATGTGAGATCACACACTGGAGAGAAACCTTACAAGTGTAATCATTGTGGAAAATCCTTCAGCCAGAGCTCTCATCTTAATGTGCACAAAAGAACTCACACTGGAGAGAAACCCTATGACTGTAAGGAATGTGGCAAGGCTTTCACTGTTCCTTCATCCCTTCAGAAACATATGAGAACCCATACTGGAGAGAAACCCTATGAATGCAGTGACTGTGGGAAATCCTTTATTGATCAGTCATCCCTTAAGAAACATACACGATCTCACACTGGAGAGAAACCTTATGAGTGTAATCAATGTGGAAAATCCTTCAGTACAGGCTCTTATCTTATTGTGCACAAGAGAACTCACACTGGAGAGAAAACCTATGAATGTAAAGAATGTGGGAAGGCCTTTAGGAATTCCTCTTGCCTAAGGGTACATATGAGAACTCACACAGGAGAGAAGCCCTATAAATGTATTCAGTGTGGAAAAGCATTCAGCACCAGCACTAACCTTATAATGCACAAACGAATACATACTGGGCAGAAACTATATGAATGAAATGACTACAGGCTAGCCTTAGGTCCTTCACATCTCACTCATTTTAGAACTCACTCTGGAGAGAAACCCTATTGTGACTAATTTAGAAAGCCTTCAGGCACAACTCTTAAGTCACGTTATACTGGGACCAACCTTATAAATGTTATGGTTCTGTGATTGTATTTATCAGTGAGTGTTTAATCTTTAAAGTGTGACAACTCATTAATTGATGAGTATTAAAGATTATATAGCACTCTAAATTCCCCTTGATCTACATCACAAAAGTTTTGATACATAATGTTTTTATTGTAATTAAGTACTAAATATTGTCCATTTCTCATCAAGATGTCTTGGACCAAACTATAGGTTATTTAGAAATATATATATTTTAATGTGCAGACTCTGTGCATATTTTAGTTATAGATTTCTGAATTAATTGCATTATGCACAGAATGCATGGTCTTCGTGACACAGATTCTATAAGACATAGATTCAAACAGACAATTATTAGAGACTTGCTACATGGCCTAATGTGTGAGACACAAGAAGTTGCTGTCCCAATATCCATTCCTCCCCTCCTTCTTTCAAGTAACAAAACAACTGTGTTCAAATTAGCAGTGTGGGCAGTTCTTAAGGATTCATCTCCCAGCTTTCCTTGCAGCTGTGAGTGCCCATGAGCCCACAGTCCTGGCCAATGAGAAAGGAGGCAGAGGTCACTGCTTGTGGGTTCTAAAGAATTCCATGGAAATGGGAGCATCGCATCTGGCGTTTTCACTTTACCATTTGCCCTTTGTCTTATCTCTTCTTTTTTCCTAGAGAACAGACCAACAGAATGACAGTCATACACTACTGATTAAATAATAAGGACATATTATTTAGCTATGTATAAGCAACTATGGGTTGCTTATTTCTGGACTTCTTGTAACATGAAAAAAATAAACTAACTGGTTTAACACTCTTGTGGGAAGAGTCTGTTTCAGTGGATTTCAGTCTCAACTGATACATCTCATATGGTCAAGTTTTAAGAATCCTTCAAGTATAGTTGAAAACAATGTGTATTCTATAATTTGTTGGGTATAACAGATTTTCAGTATATTTGATGGATAAATCTTATTGTGTTTTTAAAATCTGTATCATTACAAACCTTATCTCATGATCTCCCCTTTATTGAGAGAGGTATGTTAAAATGCCCCAGTATGACTGTGGGTAGTCAGATTGTTTTTTAAATTCTATCTTTTATTTTGAGGCAGTATAACTGGATGCATAAAAATGTATATGTCATTTTATATGTTTCTGGTAAATTGTCCTTTCATTCTTATATAGTGTTTATCCTTTTTCTCCTAATAATGAATGTTTGTTAATTCACTTGATATAAATGTGAGCTATTGACCTAGTGGATAACATTTAATGCCTACCAATTTTTAAGGACAACCAGAAACAACTTACCTTTCTTCATCACCATGTTAGTTATGATGTTCCTTGCAACACCAAGAGAGATCTCCTCCATGACATCCCTTGTGGCAGACAGAGATCAGGAGTTCCCCAGTGGCTGTCCCCACCAAAGACACCAGCAGCCCTCACCTCTCTCTCTGTTGCTCCTTGCTTTGCTTCTGTAGTGATTTATTCCCCAACCTAGTAGGATATGAGGGATCTCATCCATAGAGACTGGTGGCTCAATGTTTAATGAAAAAGGAAAAGGGGAAGGAACATTTTGTTCTTGCTCCCAAGAAACCTCAGAATGTTTCTCAACTCAAATCAGTTTGTAAATCTCCTGGTCAGTGTGCTCGGGCTCTCTTGAGTACCGCTGCCTATCAACATGTAAGAGAATCCTCCTGAAAACTAAATTGTTACAAAATAAGGATTCCCCCACCTTGGATATAGACTCTAGTCCCCCTGAAGTTGATAGGGACAGTCTAGAAAGGGAGGCCACTGCTCACAGCAGGGGTCACTCGGGACCACCAGGAGCTTAGCAGGTAAATATCTAAAGAAAAAATAAATAAAGAAATAAAGAAAAAACAGGGAAACACAAGAGACCAAAAGAAAAAATTAAGTATAAAGGCTGGGGCTTTACGAAGCTACAAGCAATCCCCCCACCCCCTACCAAAAGAAAGGGGAAACTTTAAATCTCAAGTCGTTTTGAGGTCTAGCAAACGTAATGCTGTCTTCGATTGCTTACTGATTTAACAACAATGAAAAGCCCCCAGATGCAGGGGGCAGCATTTGAGTTTAGCACTGTGTCCTGCCTTGTGGAATTGACCGGAGAAGAAAGACTACTTCATGGATCGGCAGGATTATCGATATGGGAAAATCACTGTTAGGGCTCTAGGAACGAGGCGAGAGGCACGCAGAAGACCTTTTTGATGTGCTTGCTTGGGGTGGGTCCCTGCCCGCAGCCACGCCCTTCAGGCGCCAGTATTCAGCGATCTAAATACGCACAAAACGTATCCCACCTCCAACCCCGCCTCAGAAACAGACCGCGCCCCCCCACCAGCAGCCTCATCTAAGGACTGGTTCCAGCCTCAACCTTGTCTTTGGGGCTCATTCGGTCCCCAGCCCCCGCACCTAGCCCACCCGGAACCCATCTGTACCCACGCCAGAGAAAACTAGAATTTCTCCACCTGAAGGGACCGAACGTGGCCGACGGCGCCATCGCGGAAACCCCGCCTCTTCCGACCCCTCCCGAGCCGGAAGCGGAAGTGGCGAACTTCGTTCGCCGCAGTCTCTTCCGCTGCTGGCCGGGTGTTTCTTGAGCCGTTTCCGGTTGGTCGTGGTTCGGCCCAATCCGGCGTCCGGTAGGCCGGCGCGTAGGCGAGGGAAGCAAGTGGAAGGTGTTATTAGAATGAGTTTGTCCCGGGCCACCCTGGGGTCTGCTTAGAGAGGCCTACGCCGCTCACTTCCGCCGCGGCCTCGGGGCCTCCCGGAACGGCCAGGTCCAGAGGCCGCCCCGGCGAAATATCCTAAGGGCGCTTCCGCGGGGTCGTTTAGGTTTCATCCTGTGCTCCCCTCTTCAAAAGCCTCCAAAGCAGCCTTCGTGATTTTTCTTCGAGAGGTAAAGAATTTCCGCCTTTAGGGTCCGTTGACTCCAGCCCCGTGTCCTCGAGTCCTCACGCACCCGGCGATTCCGGCACATGCCGGTGAGCAATGGGGGAAAGGGCCTCCGTTTCCTTTTCTATGCAAAAAAAAGAAGTTTCGTCTGAGAATTTGGCGTTATCTTTGCACATTTATTTTTTGCTCATTACATTCAGGTAGAAATGTACTTTCATAGATGTCTATGGAGTGCGTTTTTTTGTATAGAAATATGTTTATATAGGCCACAACTCTTTCTACAAAAGAGAAGCAAGGATGCTCCCTTATCTCTTCATCTGAACTTCCTAAACCTGTACCTCCCCGCAAAACTTCAAAACATGGGATTCCAAGAAAAACCGATGGAGGCTTTTTTGCCCTATATCTAGGATAATTGAACTTCTGATTAACAGGATGTTTGGTCTAAGTATTGTTTCCCCACATTTTTCTTTTGAAAAGTCGTAAACCTAAATAAAATGTGAAGCTTCGGTACAATTAATGTCCGTTGAAGTAGAGTCACCCATTTTGGGCATTTTGCATGTTTGCTCTCTTTCTCTAGATAAATACATTTTTTGGTGAGCTATTCGAGGGAGTAAGCTGAAAATAAATTGCAGCCATGTATTAATACTTGACCTTTAAATACTTGGTAATGCATCTTCTAAAGATAAGGACATTGTGCTAATTAAACCACAGTACTATTATTTACCCCAAGAAAATTTAAAGTAATAATGTCACCTTCTGTCTTCTCTGTGAAAACTAAAATCCTCCACATTGTTCTGAAATACACTTCTGAGTGTCTTTGGATCTGAGATGCAATCAGGGTTTATATACGGCATTTTTTTGTGTGTCTTTTAGTCTCCTTTAACCTAGAGCGTTGGCCGTTATTTCTCCATTATATTGATTTTTTGAAAAGTGACACGTTTTAAAAAGTCACACGTTTTGAAGTCTTTTAAAGTTGAGATATAATTGATATATACTAGTTGCAAGTGTACAACATAATGATTCAATATTTGTATATCTATTCTGAATTAAGTCTAGTTAACATCCATCGCCATCCATAGTTACAGATTTGTGTGTGTGTGTGTGATGAGAACTTTGAAGATTACTCTGTAAGCAACTTTCAAATATACAATACAGTATCATTACCCATAGTCACCGTATTGTATATTGCATGTACTCAGGGCTTATTTATTTTATAACTAGAAGTTAGTACCTTTTGACCACCTTTACCCATTTATCCCATCCCACTCTCCCCTCCTCTGGCAACCATAGATCTGTCTATCCATGCATTCTAGTTTGTTTTTTTAAGGTTCTACATATAAGTGAGGTCATATGATCATATGGTATTTGTCTCTCTGTCTGACTTCATTTAGCATGGTGACCTCAAGGTCCATCCATGTTGTTGCAAACAGCAAGATTTCCTTCTTTTTTTATCCCATTGTGTGTGTGTGTTGGGTATGTGTATGTGTGTGTGTGCATGCAAACACACTATGTTTTCTTTCTTTATTCGTAGATTGACACTTAGGTTGCTTCCATGTCTTGGCTATTGTAAATAACATTGCAGTGAACATGGAGGTACATATATCTTTTGAGTTAGTGTCTTTGTTTTCTTTACATAAATACCCAGAAGTGAAATTGCTGTATCATATCATAGTTCTATTTTTAATTTTTTGAGGAACCTCCATACTGTTTTCCCTAGTGGCAGCTCCAATTTACATTCCCACCAGCAGTGCACAAGGGTTCCCTTTTCTCCACATCCTCACGAACACTTGTTACTTGTTGGCTTTTTGATAATAACCATTCTGAGAGATATGCTATTTCGTTGCATTGATTTGCATTTCCCTTAATAGTAATATTGAGCACCTTTTCACATACCTTTTGGCCATCTATATCTCTTCTTTGAAAAAACATCTATTCAGATCCTCTGCCCATTTTTAAATTGGTTTATTTGTCTTTTC